TTCTTTGTTTAGGCATTTGTTTATGCGTTTTTACCTTTTTTTGGGTAATTCTTGTTTTGATTATATCTCAATCAATTTAAGTCAGATTTGAATTTCGTTTGTTGGAGGATAATCCTTAATATTAGGACTTTTAATTTTAGTTATTATCTCGATTTTTTTCCATTTTTAATTTTTTTTATTATTATATAATTTTTTCCCAAATTTTCTAGGGTATTCCCTATATAAAGTATTGTAAGCTCTTTGTGGCCACATTGATTGAAAGAAATACAAATTTTCGTGAGTTTTCCATATTTGTAAGATTTGTTCATTTTTTTTCCTATAAGTTTCCGCTATGTCAAAAATTGTTGCTATGAATATATTTTAGAAAAGAATTTGGACAAAAATGTTTATGTGAAGCTGATTGATATCACATTGTTGAAAAGAAAGTTAGGGAGGAGGAGAAAATGTATTCTTTTATAATTTTGATATCCATTTCTTCATCCTACTAAACTTTTATGTTGTTCTATTTCAAAGTTTTGTATCAATTCACCGCTTTTGTTTTAGACGCATTGCTATACATATTTTATTTTAATTAAGAGATAAATCTCATATCAATTACAATTGGGCGGCACGATAGTCATATGATGCTAACATGGTTAGGAGAATATCTTGATCACTTTTAATGTGAAGTTCTTCTTAATTACTACGAAGGTTATTATATGAATTTTCTTTTCATATTGACCTTATAGAAGAAAATATTACAAGATGAGGATAACGTACTAACTATACCTAAAAAGTTAGGTAGAGAGGAAAACTAGAGAGTTATGAATAGCATAAATTTGGAAGGAGTGTTCATACAAAATCTTTCAAGAAGTATAAATTTAAGATAACTACCTATTGTATTATTCTCTCCTTAATGTTTGGACTTGTTTTCATCAGTGCACGACACAAACAACAGATTTGAAGTTTCATTGTATCCTAGAGGTGTTTTGCTTGCACCACTAATAGTGGAGGCAAATATCATCTCAAGAAAAGCGCAAACACATACTTTTCTCTAACTTCATCTACTTCTGTGCCCCATGCCCCGTCCATTGTGAAGATAGTTCCAACATGTTATTGGATGGAAGAAGATTGGAATAAGATATGCACTTCCTAGGGATTTTTTTTTTTAAATAAAGATCTATTTTCATTTGATATTTTGGCCTAAATTTTTTGACTCTTCACGAATGAGATCCTCCTTTTTGGCAATTGAAAAGATGGGTGATAGAAGCAAGAACAAATTATTTTCTAAGATGATACAAAGGAAAAGAAGGAATTCTTTTTCTACTTAATTTGGAAACAAACAAAAGAAAGCATTCAAGTAACTTGGTATTACAATACCATTTCTTTCAATGTGAAACCCTTTGAGAGGGCTCATTCACCAACTCAGAATTATATATAGAATCTTTGATTGAGTGTAGGTATGTTTTTGTTGGTTATATCTGCTGGCAAGAAAATAAGAAGAAACATATGATATATCAGGTGTACAAGGTATGCTATGTGTTGAAATTTTTTATATGGACCAACACAATTATAATCAACCCACTTAATAAGTATAACTAAGCTTTGTTATGACAACTATATAGTTCAGTAATATACATATTTTGGTATTCCCCAATGAGCCATAATGAGGTAGACTTAATTTACTTTATTATGAGACCTGTGGGTTCACGTTCCTTGTAATATTGTTTTAGTTAATCGATCGAATTGAATATTGTTGGAATTTAGTGGTGTTAGTGGAAGAAATCGAATTAACACATACCGTATATGTAATTTAGATACCGATTTTAAGCATATCGTATATGCAGCTTACCATATTTGCAGGTAACTTACCGTATATGTATCTTACCGTATATGTTGCCTACCGTATATGCATTTGACAGTATTTATATGTATTGTCTTTATCTATTTAGATGCCATATTTTTATATGCCGATTTTTTCACTTACAAATACCGAAATTGCAGTACAACGTATATGCACTTACCTAACCGAATGTCAGTAAATTTTTTTCAGATTTTTATTTTTAATATAAACAAAAAATAAACTTTAAAATATATGAAGTACAAAAGAATATAACTGCATTTTGCAAGTCTAATAGGTAAGATAAAAATTCAGGAAATAAATAAATAAGAAACAAATTTTCAACTCGAGGCCTGTCGAGCACAGTTTCCTTAAAACAGATTTGTCTCCTCACCATAAGTGTTTGAGATTTAATCCGAACGTCTGTTTTTCAGGATACAACGGTAAACCAGTAGAATCTAAGTACTGCAGAAACTACTCCGATGAACTAAGTTAATATTCGAATAATATCACCACCAACACACGAATGCAGATAGAACAACAATATGTAGTATATTTTCGTGTATGCAGACTGTATTTTCGTGTGTTTTCTGGTGTACAAGAATTGCTAGAAAATGAGTCTTAATATAAGATAAATCTGTCATTAACTTTATGGTAATAAATATTGGAGTCATTTCAATTTCTGTTGGAGTTTTAGCAGTTTCAGAAATTCAAAGTCAGTTAAAGAAAGCAAAAAAATTGCAAAACGTGGATTCGTGTACGCATGTAGCACCCCCACACAAGTTCAAGGTCCAAAGGCTATTTCGGTCAGTGATTTACACCCCTGTGCGCACGCGTGGAGAGAACATTTATACTGCACATGATTACACAATTCCAAAGTATAGTCATATATAAAGTGGTTCATGCTTTATTTTTTTCTATGTGGGACAAATTTAATTTTCTCACATAAACTATTTTTCAATGGTCAACTTTGACCTATAATTTCTTATTCATCCATTCATCAATTTTGGCAAGTAAATATATAATTTTGATACTCTCATGGAGGAGAACATGGATCAACTTTGATATTCCAAATTAAACTAACGGGTTCCACCGAAAATTGTGCCAAAAGTGAGCCATTTACTCATTTTTCCCAACTAATATCTCTTTACTGTCATGGACTTTAGCTCAATAGATTCCGAACACTTTATATGTTATAGTTTAAATAAATGATTCTTGAGTTGTGATGCAACCTATTCTATATATGTAAAAGAAAAATCTATTGCACATAAAGATGGGAACAAGGGTAAATTCATCACGCTTATCACATAATGCAATTTGTTCGTTGCCTCTTTAAGATTTTTGTGCATTTGTAATCTTTGTCAAAAAAAAGTTAATGAGATGATAATCGTTAATTTGAACTTCACGGGATGCATGTTCTTAGATCTTTATGTATATGTGCTACAATTAGAAAATAGATAATGATCCTGGAAGGTATGATTGTTATTAACTTATTATCTATGGATAATATGGTTTATTACTGTTGAATATGAGGTGTAAGGTTAACAATTTATTCTCTATAGCAAAGATGAAAGTTCCAAACTAGATTTAAAAATAGAATTTCAATACTTACATGGGTTATGGAATCACGAGTTTTGGCACAAACTATGGTAAATATGAAAGTATAAAGAAGATTAGATACCAATTAAAACTATAATTCGCCGGTCAAACAATGAAGAAAACACTGATTTTTAAGAGCCAGGGCTGTGACTTCATGCCTATTGAAGAAGGAGGCAGTGACTCATAGGCTTTAGCAAAAGAAAGCTTTCAATCAGTTGTTGCTTTAAACTGAAGATCTAAAGGCTTATGCCATGTATCAAGCAATTAAGGGTTCTCAATCTACATTACATATTATAATTCTAGAAACTCCGTGAGGAGAGATGTTGAGGTTATCTCACGTCGGTTGTGGATAGGGTTAGTATTCAGTTTTTAAGTGTGAGGAAAAGTCTTACCTCTTGAGCTAACTTTTGGGATTAAGAAAATTCAATAACACCTAACACTGGTATCAGAGTCTGGTTTATTAACAAGTTTTTGGCCCAACAATCACGAATATATGAGTTTGTGTGAGGGGGAGACGAGTTTGGTCTCCCGCAGGCCCGTTGTGTAAGGGGAGGCATGTTTGGTCTCCCGCAAAACTCGATGTGTGAGGAGGAGATTGTTGAGATTGTCCCATATCGGTTGTGGATGAAATTACTATTCAATTTATAAGTGCGAGGAAAAACCTCACTCTTGAGCTAACTTTTGGAGTTGAGAAGACCCAATATTATTCAACACTGGTATTAGAGCAATTCTTATAACTTACTTGTTCCCAACAAGAGATTGTCAACAACAACAAGTAGAAACAAGTCATGCTAACGGTAAAATCAAGGACACAGACATGGAGTGGAGAACTTGTCCTCAAACACATGGGCACCGTAGTTTTTTATTTTCCCTCCTCAGATAATAGTTAAATCTCCCTCTCATACACGTACATATATACATTATAATGATTAAATACTTTTCCTTAGACAATCATGCTACATATACAAGGATTTTTGCCATACAACTTGACACATTGTCAGCTGGCACAATTTCATTAGATATTAGACATAAAACAATTTTAAATCAGTCAATTCAGTATTGCCAGCTCATCATCTATAAAAATCCATGTATATATCATTTGTACAAGGAGCTTAATTCTTCTTGCAAGCCCATTTGGCAGGGACTATTCCATGCATCATTACCATTACATAGGTTCATTGGTGTTGGGCCTCAACATGGTTTTCTTTAGTGTCTGAGTGATTCAAATCCAAGACCTCCTCTTTAAGCCCCCAACGTGGCTAGTATATATACGTAATGGTGCAGAAATAGCCATTGAGTGAAGGGGCTTGTAAAGAAAAGTATGTAGTCGTTACAGAGAGAGGGGGTATATTAATGGTTTTGTTTGATGGGGGTCCAGTCTTGATTAAAAAGTGAAAAAAGGGGACATGGGTGGCCTCCAGTATGTTCAATTTAGTTTTCAAGGGTTCAGCATCAGGCACCTGCATGTTCTCTCTGAACCAAATTCATCTCTTACAATACCTGCATTTAATGCCTCATTCCCCTCTTCTCACTACATATATGCACCAATATCTCTCTACTCATAAACCCACCTTACTCTTATTCTCTGAATCACAAGATAATTAATCTCTCAACTACCATGTCTTCTCTTGTTTATTTTTTTCTCTCTCTTTATTATTTTCATGCATGCACTGGTCGACCACTTGCAGTTTTTGATCAAGAAAATAGCAGTCAAATTCAGCTTTCTGGAAAGGTTAGCTTTATATATTGCGTATACGTTTTTGTACTTAAGGTTGTTGTAGATAAGTAGCAGCATCTGCATTAGGACGTCCCAACTAGGCCGGCGCCTCTTTAGCACTCTCGTTAAAAATGTCTACAAAACCTATAATTAAGCCTACTGTATGTATCAGAATAAATAAACGTGAAACTAAAACTTAAAGCTACCCGCCACTCAGTAGAGAGGGATTCTAGGAGCTCTGGATGCCTGTGAATCCATATGTCATATATACATATATAGATAAAAAGTTACAAAAATTATAATAAATATAGTCTTATTATAATACTTCACTCTGCAGGATGTGAAGACTTTTTATGGTGCAAATTCTATGAAGCTAAATAATCAGAAGGCATACTTAGTTAAGGAAGGTGAAGACATCAAAGGTTGCTAACGATACACTTTTTCATTCATTTATTCATATTTCTTTTTTCCTTTTATCTAGTGCTATAATAGTGTTTGTGAATATACAATATATTTGGTTAACAAAGAGTGGGGTGATCTCTATACTCAGTTTGCAGGCAGTAATCCACCATGAAGTGGACAATAATAGTGCGAGTAAAATCATGTTTAAAATTCAAACAAATAAATGTGTATCCTATGTAATTAGTCAACATTTCAAATATGATATGAGAGTGTGCAAAGTTCCTGAGTTCAAGTTGAGCTGTCGAAAATTTATGAAAATTATGTATGGATCATGTCTTTGATAAAAATTGAATATGCCGTCCTACATGGATGAAATGGTTTAACAAACAAGAGGCAGCTACAGCCTACAATAAACAGACAGATCGGAGTGTCCAATGATAAGTAAAACAAAAGGGCATAGGGAGTAAAAGAGAAATTGCAAAGCCAAACAAAACTTTACCAAAAAGTCAAGTTTGTAGTTAGATATAACAAGGTATGGAGTTAATTAAATTATTATATGCTAGCTAAGCATTTCCATAAGAATCTCAATTTAAAATCTCCATTTAAAAGGTCAAGTTTGTAGTAGTCATCAAATCTCTTGTTGGATGAAATGTTTCCTCCAACAATTATAAATAAAGAGGGCAAAGCTCGTTGCTCAATAAATAAAAGCCAGGATTCCTTGACTAACTAAACTTGAAGCGAGTTTTTTACTAATCAGTGCCTTTGGATGGTCTCTTTCTCTTAGCCTTGTCCTTGTAAGTATTTCATGCCGTTTAAGAGCAGTTCTTATGTGAATATATTTCTCTAAACTAATATATGAATTTCTCTGCAGTCTTTAAATAAGTTCAATGGAAAGTTTTTGATTCATCTATCATTATATATGGCACGAACAAAGATAAAATGACATGCGCATATATACTTCAAACTAATTGATTTTTTCCCCGATGGACAAATTAGTTGTTTTTGAATAAGTACTGTAATTTTTTTTTTATTGTTATTAACATTGGAATCTAGCCTAGCTATTTTATTTTTTTTAAAATAATAATAATAATAATAACAACAACTTAGTACAAAGTTCTAATAATAATATCACAAACTATCATAACAAATGAAACAAGAAAATGTACCTAAACCTAATAACATGACACGTGAAACAAGAAAATGCACCTACAGAAAGACGGACGCTGTCAAATCTGGCAGAGCAGAGGTCGTGAGTTCGAAACATGGGGCTCTTGGAAGGCAAGGATTTATTCTTGGAAGGCAAGGGAACATTTGGAAGGCAAGGATTTATTCTTGGAAGGCAAGTGGGAACTTAGAAGGCAAGGATTATTCTTGGAAGGCAAGGTGCAACTTGGATTGACTTGCTTGGCACTTTGTCAGACCAGGTGGGGAGCGCTCGGACCCTGGCCAGTTGGAGGCACATCCTGCGATTAACCGGACTGTGTGAAGAGGGGCCGGAACTTAGTACAAAGTTCTAATAATAATATCACAAACTATCATAACAAATGAAACAAGAAAATGTACCTAAACCTAATTACATGACACGTGAAACAAGAAAATGCACCTACAGAAAGAACAAATTAATGAGGTCAAAATGTTTCTCCATTATTAAATCCCCTGAAATCCACTAATGATTTCTAAACTCGTCCTTTAAAATTTTACTAAATTCATCATCTGAATAATCTTCCGTGGACGAACCTTGAAGTGAACCATGAAGAGGAACCTCTAGGTATCTTCCGTGGACGAACCTTGAAGCGAACATTGAAGAGGAACTTCATTGGACATTGAATTATCACTGTGCAGTTAGCTGGTAGAGGATCGATGAGATGGTTAAAAGAATTATCTATCAAAACATTGTCCAAACCTGAGAACGAATCTAAATAAGGACTTAAATCATCTGCCAAATCGAAATTATCTCGACTAATTCCCAAAACATCCTCTTCAAATTCCATACTGGCCATTTCTTGTTGCAAGTACTTGGACCTGAAAGCAGAATTCTCACATGGAAAACTAGCTGATGCAAGATCATAACAGTCAAAATTGAGGTTAGAATTAATTAAAATATGATCATCAGCAAATGTGTTATCGAAATGGCCGCTCGGAATACAATTTCCGAACTGGTTCATTAGCAAATTTCCCTCTTGAAAATTGTTTTTCTTGCACACTATTCCTTCAAGATTAGTCTTCGTTTGAGTCAGTTCATGGTCATTTTTTCTCAATTCAGTAACATGATCCTCATTGATCCTTTGTCGCTTATTTGGAATGGATTTTTCTTCTTTTTTATAAATCCTACACAAAACCCAGTCATCAAGCCTCATGTCATCTGCAGATAGTTTTATTCTGGGAGGTTGATGGACACTAAACTCCTGCATCATCCAATTAGTTTTCTTTCCTCTTGGTGGTTTCCCTTTGTTAAAAACTAATGCTTTCTTGGCTCCAACGACTTCATCCTTATGGGTTGTGCTATTTGCACAGGGCCCTGTGCACAGGGCCTGAGACATGGGGTGGACCCCACAAATGTGTGGGGTCCACCCCATGTCTCAGGCCCTGTGCACACCCTGTGCACAGGGCCCTGTGCAAGGAGGATTACCCATTATAATAAATAAGCTTGTCAGCTCCTGTAGCCTTCCAGTAACCATCGCCTGCTGCTCGATTCGGTCGGCTGCCATTTTTATATTTTCGGTCCCTTGGGGTGAAAAAGGACCACGAGTTTATTCCATTATCCGAGTAATTCTCTACTAGATCCTTAGGATTATGCTTGTAAAGCTCAACATCTCTTATAATGCTATACGGCATCGGCTTATTCATGATCGTATTCTTTAAGTAATGAAGAATGAGTTCATCGTCTTCAGGAATAAACCGATATTCTGGAGGAAACCAATGAGTATAAATTGGTTCATTTTCAGATGGAAAATTTTTCAGCTGAGTTGCAGAATTAAGATGATTTGTAGGGCTAATAGGTCTCTGACCAGAGGCAATGAGATTTGCCCCTGGTGGCTGACCAGAATGCATGGTTATTAAAGGCCGGCCCTCTAGCCTAGCTAGTTGATGATTTGCTTTTCAATAATTCCATTTGTTTAATTCATACCATTTTTATAATTTTTTTTTTCTATTACAGGTAACGAAGTTAAGATGTCATATTTTGGGAAGATTTTTGAGGACACTGCAGAAAAAATGGTACATCTTTCAAAATCTTTGGCTAACACATGCTATGTAGCCTATACTTGTATGCATGCATGGTGCAGTTAGAAAACGGAACATATATAGAAAACAGTATATATAGATATATTATAAAATTGAAGCTTAGGAGGAGGCCTAAGACCTTACCTCTGATTACTGAAAATACTAAACATAAAACTTAGCCCCTGTTTGATTCCCATTACCTAAAAATAAAAATGGGGGAAATAGTATTTTTTAGAAAAATGAGTGATTGAAAAAGAAGGAAAAGTTTTCGATTTATGTGTAATATTATTTTATGAAATATTGTGTGGTTTAAAATATGGGAGAGAATAATAGAATGTAATGTAATTTAATTTAATGGGGATCAAACATGGGCTTAGTTTGTAAAGAAAATTGGCCATAAGAGTAAAATTGGCTATAGGAACTATTTTTGGATCTCATGCAATCTCGTTATGCTCTTCATTATTATGCATTAAGGTATTTTGTGGCTTATCTGAACTTGAATAATATGTATTTGCAGGAACGTGAGAGAGAAGAACGGTCCACATTGGAGTCTCCCTTGAAGAAAGCCAAGAAAAATGCAATATCAAAGGAAAGTGACACTATAGAGGATATAGTGGTGATGGACTACGCAAAACCACATCGTAAACCACCTATTCATAACAAAGAACCCTAGATTAGTGATGTTAAACCTTAATTTCTCCACCGTTTGGTATTTGGGTAAGATTTTGAATCTTTTATTTTTCTTGATAAATTAAAGGGTAATAAAGAAGAATCACAGCTGAGCAAGCTAGGGTGATTTGATCTTAGATATAATTATTGATAAAGAATTTGACTTTTATTAAGTCGTACAAGAAAAAAAATATGGAAAAAAGTGCTAATAGAATTATAGAAATTCCCGTGGAAATATCTATTCCAGCAATTATATTATTGTGTTTCTTCAATGTTTAAAACAAGTTGCAGCTGGTATGAATGTGATGAATTGGTGGAGGATCAATGGTCCCTATTTATATGTATGGTGTTTTTTTCCTGTAATAAATGTGCTGCGAATAAAGAAATATACAAACGTGATGTTTGGCCGTCGACATAAATGATGTTATTCATTTCTGTGTATTGCAGACACTTGGTTTATCCGGTTCTTGCACTTTCAGTTAACTGTCCAACTACACCGATCATCGACTATACAAAAAATTCGTAAAGTATATATTTTTTTAGTTCTTTGTGATTTATATGAACTATTGTCCAACAATCACAATCACGAAAACTTCATACTCTATATCCCCCTAGAAATTAACTCAAGCATACAGATTAAGCTCGTACCTCTGCATCCTTAGCATGTTTGATGAAGCTTAAAATAAAGCGCAAAATCACTACCAAACAAGCACCAAAACTATAAATGAGTTGTTGGAAACTAGTTCGTTGAAATCATGAAAATTTGCCTATCCCGTTTTAAGGGAATAAAAAAAATACACTCGTTATCATGAATTGCATAGACTAGAAACAATGGTGGAGGCACTAGTGAGAGATTGCTCAATTCAAGGAAGTAGATAAATAAGTAATATCAAAAATCATGTAAATTGAACAGGTGAATCTCGTGGAATCATAACTTGTTTAATATATGAATCACCCAATGGGTAGTAAAAATTCTTGTCAATACTCAGACCCCTTAATCTACCATTGAATTCACTACAATCAACGACCGCTACAGTTTATAATGAATGGGTTCATAAATCAATAAATTCGAAAGTCTTGAATGGCAGAATTAAATTGGTAAGAGAGTGACGTGAGAAAAGCACACACACCAAATGTTCCAATTGCACATACAACAGAAGGAATGGTGGACCTCTATGCATGCCTTTGGTACAACCATCTGTTGACTGAAAGAAGAGAGAGAAATAGTGGTCTAACACACATAATCATATCTCGGGGACCCTATTTGCTTAAGCTACACAGTGGCTGAGGGGAACAAGGTTGGACTGCCTGAGTAACGTTGATCGCAAGCTCTAAATCATTTTTGGCATGCTTTTACCAACAGATGAATGTTTTTAGAGGATTTCTTTAGGCACTTAATTAGTAATTTTCACTTGTATTCTAATTGATATGCTTCTCTTTTATTTAGTTACTGTTGACCTCTTTTTTTGTAGAACTTACATGGCCAACAGATTTCAGGTCCTCTCCCGTCCAAATAAGTTTCATGTTCTACACACTTGAATAAATCGTAAGTTATATGGGGCCTTCTCCAAATATTGGAGAAGCAGTCGCGTACACTCCAACAGTCAAGTCAATCAATTTGTATGGAAAGGGGCTGCGGGACGTGTTGAGGACGTGAGCCAATAAGTAACAAAGGTCCAGGCTTGCCAGCACAGCTCTGTAGGAGTGGCATCTCGAGTGTGGCCATTGTGTATCTTATGGACGAGGAAGTGCAACAACTGAGGAATTCAGTGAAGCTGATTTTGGAGTTGCTAACTAAGTTGGCAATTTGAAGAAGAAATTGAATAGGAGACTATTTTATTTGAGTTGCAAAATTTAGTATATTTTACAATTGGTCAAGTTAGTATCTATTTCATTTAATGGTTTCAATGTACTGAAAAATATAAAATTTTATTGATGAGAACGCTTTGTACAGCATTACAATTCAAATCAAGGGCGGGAATAAAAAATGAAGAAAAAACGAAGTTTCACCTCCATAAATATTTCATCCTGGCAGGCTTAGCTGTTGGTGCGATCTTTAAAGTTGTTGTTGGAATATAGCTTGCCCTTTCGGTGGTGGCCTTCGGTTCATATTAGATAACTCGAAGTGGTCGTGTTGCTGATGTGGGCTGTCCGGCGCGCCAAATTCATCTCCATGCACATCCATTCCTACGTATTGTTGCACTACAAGAACTGAATACATTGATGCAAAATCCGATGATGCTAACAAATCTCCAATTGCACCGAGCTCGGGACACTCACTCCAATCCGTAAGCCCGGCTGTGAGAGGAGATATCATTCCTTGTCCTCTACCTACTATAAAAAGGTCATGAATGGGATCTATTGATCTTATTGCGGCTACGGTCTCTTCTCCGTGATTCACCACTTTCTCGGTGTAAACTATGGAACCATCATTTGCGGTTCTTGCTCTGAACTCATTGATGTAGTCTTCGTCTAGCTGTTTGTCTCTATCAGTATCTGTTACCACTGTCAATATTTCACGCCCACTTTGCGTATGATCAAACGCGTGTTCACCTGGGACGAAGCGCATGACAGTGAGATTGATTCCCGGATGCTCGCACATCCTCCAGGCATATGCTAATGCTTCTCTATCATCCTGGCCGCCAAAGAAAAGTACAACTATATGGTGGTTGATCTGATTTGCAGACAATCTTGTTGATACACTAAGGCCTGATGGTTTTGTAGAACAAAGAGGAAGAGATAGATTTTTCTGAGGAAAATATCAGTACATCTTGTTGATCCACTTAGGCCTCTATCAACAAGAATGCCGACAGAACAAGGTGCATTAGCTAATACATTCTGGTTAATTGTTCGAAAAGCTGGATTAGTTGATTCCATTCCTCCATCAACAGTTTGTTGTTTGTGAAAAGGAATAATAATAAAGGAAACACGTTTATCCTCAGCCACATTGCAAATGTCTTCATGCATAGTCGAATAAGGGGATATGGCAGTGAGGGGTTGAACTGATACACACCCAATGTGCTGCTCGAAGTTTTCAAACGCATTAATAATATGATCCGATTGCGCTTGAGTCCGGTTAAGTGCAGGCCGACCTAATTTTCGTGTGTTGTGGACAATAAGCATGGCAGAAGCACGCCCTGTGAGTTCAACAAGGTGGAGTGCATATATACAAATTGGAGATTTTTTCGTTGGATGGGAAGCTTCAAGGAGACTAATGATTGTTGGAACATTTCTCGGTGTGTGAATGCAAGCAAGTACCCGAAACTCTCCTTCCTGTTTTGATCTTTGGATTGTTCTTCTTTTATAACGTACAGCTTTCCTTGCCGGCTTGTATATACTCGTCACAATTGGTGCGATAATTGCTGTCATAATCACTGCTACTGTTACCATTATCGCAAAAGATTTGTCATCAAGAACCTGCAGAATCCATTGGATTAGTGTAAGAAATTAATAAAATCATTTATTTGAATAATCACAGAGACTAAAAATAAGTACCTTTTGATCTTTACCAACATTAAGGACAATCATCTCAACTAGGCCTTTAGTGTTCATGAGCAAACCAAGTGTAAGACCTTCGTTAAATGGCATTTTGTAGTATAGAGAAACGAATAGAGTTCCTGCAACTTTGCCAACACATGCCAGAATAATCACAAGCACTAGAATGGCCCAAGTACCGACTCCAGTTATTGCAGCAATGTTCGTCTTGAGGCCGCTAATGGCAAAGAAGAGTGGTAGAAGAAGCCCAGAAACAAAGTCTTCGAGTCTTTCTATAAGGGTTATACCAATTGGTCCATTTGGAATAACTAAGCCAAAAACAAAAGCTCCAAAAACAGAATGTGTTCCAATAGCATCCGTTATAAAACCAGATATCATAACCCCAGTAAGAATTAAACAAATACTGAATTCACTAATGGATTCGCCTTCCGGGATTCGTCTTATCATCCATGATATTAGAGGCCTAATTACATATACACAAAAAGCTACAAAGGCTACACTTGACAAAATCACCCAAATTGAAGCCAAGGACTTCACATCATTCTCAGCCAGTGCAATGGCAAAGGCTAATAGAATCCATGCACACATGTCATTAATAAGTGCCGAAGACATGGCAATTCTTCCAATCTCCGTGTTAAGAAGTTTTAGCTCAGCTAGGATTCGTGCAAGCACAGGAAATGCAGTAACAGAAAGTGCTACTCCAAGGAAAAGTATAAAGGTTCCGAGTTTTACAAGCTGTGCGTCTTTATGCAACATGAAGGCAAACGAAATGCCTATCAAAAATGGCAATATCATACCGGCAATTGCCATAGCCAAAGCCCTTTTGCCTGTGCGTCGAATAACAGCAATGTCCATTTCTACTCCAACTAGAAAGAGGAAATAAAGAAGTCCTACATTTGCCATTGTCTCTAGTACCATTACACTTCTAAGAGGAAATACAGTGTTTGCGAATTTGGCACTACGTCCTAGCACTGATGGCCCCAAGATTATGCCACCCTGATACAATTTTTATGAATCAGTGAATTACAGATGAAATAAACTTTTCATTTTAAATTTTGTTCTTCTAATACCATAATTCCAATGGGATAAATGATCATGCATTCATAATTTTCATCAAACATATCCATCACATGCAGGCCAAAAAACATAAACAAAAACACGAAAAAAGAATCAAAAGAAAATCTAGAAGAAATAATCCACGAATTAATGATGTAAACCTACAAGGATCTCAGAAATGACACGAGGCTGGCGAAAGGGTTTGAGGAGAAAAACAAGAATTCTCGTCGTAACAACAACCAATGTCAATTGCAAAATGAAAAGTGGCAAAGAATAATCCAATGGATTATCACCCTGCCAGATCCCATTCGTCGTTATCATAGTCGGGGCGTAACATACTATTGTATCATCCGTTATGTTCCTGGCCCTAGCTGTCCGCTCGTCCATTTTTCCCTTTCTTATTAATATCTCGCTACAAAATGTCCTAAAGGAACTGTTTTTTTCCTTTTGTTATTTCACAAAATGTTCCATACTGCTATACACAGTATCACCTAGACAAAACCCATTATATGACTGAAAATTTAACGTTGAACTTATTTTGGCCAGAAGGTGAAGAGAAAAAGAGAGGAAAAGTTGTTAATCTGGAAGCATATTGAATTTAACATTCTTTCTAGTGAAACTGCAAATAAGAAATTGTGTGGCTGTGAAAAATTTTCTATCCTTTCGGTGAATGAGGGCTGTATATGTATTCTATGGTTTATATATTACCATAACAAACTAAAGCCTACTTTTATTTTATATTTCTTTTTCAAAGAATTGACTAATTTGATACTCCTAAATTCAGGGAGAGGGGAAGAGAGATGAAAGATGGTTCACCAGCTAAGGCTTAAAACCTATATTTTCTTCAT